TATAGTGTACATATAGTACTTATGCTTATTTTTTATTCGGTTTTTGAACGATACGGAATCTTTTTTACCAAATGTATATAATAAGAAATTTCATTCACAAATTGCATCGAACTTTTTTGAGGAGCACGAATTTTGTATATTCACAATTCATATATTTATATACATCAATTTATAATATATATATGTACAATTTATAATTTATATATGTACAATATACAATAATATATATATACAATATATTGTTATAAAATATCGTACAAATTTATACAATTTATACAATAAAATATTCTCATACTGAAGGATGCTTATATGTATGTACATTTTATATTATATTTTGCTTTCTTTGATACAAACAATAATTTAACAATTAACATTTTAATATATATATAAATACAACAAAGTGTTTATTAAATCATAAAATATTTTATATCTTAACAAATTCAAATTGAAGCGCTTGCCCTACCCGCAACATGGCGATGAGTCATGTGACCTGGGATCCAATACATCAAAAGTGCCGACGCTCAGTGTCCGTACTGTATATGGGTGTATATCAGTTGGACACGGGGCAATTGGACACAGTCCAATCACAAGTCGCTGTTCCAAGGGACCCTACAAATGTCTCTAATCACACGGTGCTGTAATTGGCTGTGTCTAAATGCACCGTGTCCAAGTGCACCGCTCCCACTGTATATACTTATACTGTGGTTAGCAACGTAAAATACGCTTCTAATATCCGCGTATCACGTGGTGATACATATTGGAAAAACCTAATGGCTCCTGCACACAGGACGCGGTCATGCTTGCTGCGCAGCGGAAGTCCGTGCGACAGCCAATCAATATGTTGCTTTTCCGTAAGAGCTAGAAGGTTATTACGGAAAGCAGCATATTGATTGGCTGTTGCGCGAACTTTTGTCGCGCGGTAAACATTACCGCGTCCTGTGTGCAAGAGCCATAATAGTATAGTAGAAGTAATAAAAAGAATTAGACTTTCTTGAAAACCACAGATACTTTATAACAAAATTAATTATAGAAAATTATATTAAAATTGTTATGAATTATGAAAGAAAATTAATAAGCCTAAAATGTCAATATATCAGACATAAATTGACAAAAATTATTTTATTGCAAGGACAATAATATATCATTTGGGGTAACTTTTATATTGCTGATATGAAAGGTACCATCATTTGGAATAACTTCTATATCGCTGATATGAAAGTTCTATCTTTATTCGTTTAATAATGCCACATGTTTTTGTAAGCCGTTGCAAATTGTTCAAAGTTACTCCGGTGTTCTAAGTTACTTCAAAGGACGGTATTTTAAATAATGTTTTAACAAATGTTGAACGTTTTTTTTATAATATTACATATATATTATATAAACATTCTTAATATATATATATATATATATATATATATATATATATATATATATATATGTATATATATTTTATTCATATATTTATATAATTATATTAATTTTTATATTTTCCTTGCAAATCAGATTTCTGTTTTTTGTTACTTTAAAAATTGTTGATTTTTATATTATAGCAAAGTTGTATAACTTTTTTTTTAATGTAATAATTTATTTGAAGAAAAAATGAAAAAATCTGTTATT